CATAGGAGAATTCATGAGTTGATCCTAATCAAAGATTACAACTTTAAATTCAACTCTAATAAAAATTTTCTCAGATTTTTGTATCCTAGTATGGTTTTGAAAATCAAGAGTAAAATTCTCCAGCTAGTTCATATTTACTGTATGCACACTTCAAGAGGTATGAGCAAAACATAAAAAAGTAAGCATCATTTGAAAACTTACTGCAGCCTGAAAAAGAACATATGAAAAATGGTGAAATTATAAATAGTATGGGAAATTGCAAATTATGAATAGTTTGGACAAATTGGACTTGTAACACATGGATCATGAAGTAGACAAAATATTCCTAAAACACGTCTACCAAAAACTCCGCTACATGTTGTGTGATAAAGGGTAGACATTTTGGTATAGGGAATCTTCTATTTTATTAACTCATGGAAAATATTCTGCAGCCTTGAAGACTTTTAGAACTAGCTTGTTTGTGATCTTTATCTTCAATAAATTCCTGAAATCTGTGATATATTTATGGAGAGCACCAAATCTTTTATTATATCCCCTAATTGTTCCTTCTTCTTTTATGACAACCTCCTCTGGTGAATCATTATTAAAATGAGACTTTGAATAGTAATAATATTGAAATTTGTATCCACACATTAATTATGATGGGTAGGGTATGGTCTCTCACTATTTGCAAACATTTACTGAGTACCCACTATGATGTGTTAACTGAGGCTCACAGATCGCTTTGAAATAGGCAATCCCATCTAAAGTAGGTAATTCTTGTCCAATCCAGAGTTGTTGATATTTATCTGTGGAACAATAATAAAAATTTGCATGTTCTATACTCACCATATGTCTGCATTATGTAAGCATTTTATATACTTATTTATTTAATCCTCATTAACAACCTCTGGAGTAGGTGCTATTATACCCATTTAACCTGTTATATTATATAGGTGATACTGTACATTTTTAAAGAGAAAGAAGGTGATGACAGAGAGGTTAAATAATTTGCCCAAAGTCACACATCCAAAACATGGAAGATCTGTGATTCTAACCAGACAATTGACTTTAGAATCTATATTCATACCCACTCCACCGTTCTGCATAGCCTGTGGTCAAAAACAAGAATGGAGTCTCAAATTTACACAATTAAAAGTCCTGTTAAGTTATAAAAAAAACTATAATTTAGCTGGATGTTAAATATAAAATTTTAAAACATAAGTCAATCAATTTCATTATGCCCTGAAATTCACAAACCTCTGATTTCTTTTGGTTTTGGCAAAACCATAAGAATTTTTAAAGCTCTATGACTCATCTGTGCATATTAATTTCTACATGCCCACACGATCTTGTGACACATCAAAGAGAAGAGATAGACTTACATGTGTAGGTTTTACAATCCTACAGCAAGGAACTGAATCCTAATTCTACCACTCATTAGCTAGATGAATTGGAGTAAGGAACTTGACCTCTAAAATTTAAAATGGAATGAGAACAATATATATTCCATAGGAGTAAGGTGATGAACCAATGTAGAAGCAATTTATTTAGTCCCTGCTATTTTCTAAATACTTGCTCTGTTAGTTGTGGTGTTAGTATTCTCACTATGTTCCCTCTTGAGTTAGCCTGCCAGGGTCTTGTAGGGATGCTGTCGAGAAAAGAATCAGGTTTATCTTTAACCAATGATCACAAATGTTCTTCCATCATTCATCTTTGGGTTTCCAGGGACTTCATCCATTTATTTCTGTCACCACTACTACTAATAACTGTCTCCTTCCTTAGTTGCATCTCACTTTAATCTGCACAGTGATTTTATTTTGAAGGAATCTAACAGAAAATGTGATTTTATTAAACTCTTTTAACACTTTATTCCAGGTGTGAAAATAGGACTAAAGTGGCAGTCATAATTAGTGATTTAAAAGTACGCATCTGCACAATGATGTTTCATAGTTACAAAGAAACTATACAAATACATTTGATAGTTAATAATGACAAATCATTCTGGTTTTATTGCATTTAATGAATGGTTTCCTGAATTGAGTTTTCAGTATTTTAATGAAAAAAATTTTTTTTTGTCTGGAAAAATGGTGTGAAGTTTCAAAATAATCTATCACATATTGAGGCTTTGCACATAGACTATCAAAGAACTTTTAGAATTTTTGAACTTTCCTTCATATTGTAGAATGTGTCATTTCAAGTGTCTTGGTCTGTTTGAGATGCTATAAGGAAATACCATAAACTGGGTGGCTTATAAACAACAGAAATTTGTCACAGTGTTAAGAGACTGTAAAGGTCAAGAATAAGGTACCAGAAATTTTGGTGTTTGGTGAATTTCTGGTTTCTAACATAATCTCACATGGCTGAAGAAACAATAGGTCACTCTATTGTTTGATAGAGCACTGATAGCATTCTTAAGGTCTCTGCCCTCATGACCTAGTCATGACCTATCAAAGGCCTCATTTCTTAAAACCATGGCCTTGAAGTGTAGGATTTCAACATATGAATTTGGAGAGTATACAACCATTTGGGCCTTGCAGTCTTAAGTATCTTTGTGATTAGTCTTTCTCTATTTATAAATATATATTACTATTCTTGTACATGTTTAAGAAATCTGTAAATTATATTTCTATTAGAATGCCATTTAGTTGAAACAATCATTATCTACCAAAATTAAAGAGTTAAAAAAAAAAAAAGAATCATTTTCAATTTACTCTCCTTGTTCATTACCAAGGATGACCATTTTATTTTATAAATACAGTATGTCTTCTGACCTAGGTTAGTAGAAGTCCGAATCACTCATGCATGTAGGAGTCAGAGGATTGTTATAAATGATAAAAGATACATAGATAAGAAGATCATGGTCTATGTTCAGTGCTAGGCAAAAAGTGTGAGACCAATGATAATTGGGTCTCTCCCTTTTTTAAACAACTTTCTCTTTGCTACATTGGAATTCTCTACAATGACATATAAGGAACCCTCCTTGGATTGTGCCTCTTTTTACTTTTTGAGTCTCATAGCTCACTGTCCTTCCCTTATGCACTGTGCTTCAGAAATGCAAAAACTATACTCCTTTGTCCAAGTGCACATGTCACTGATGTCCCCATGCTTATTCTCTCTGCCTGTGATTTCAGCCTCCACACCATACTTAAGCCTGGCTATCTTTCTGAAGTCTCTCATCTTATGCATATTTGCTAGGCTATACTACAAAGATCCTCAGAATTCAGCTCTTCTTAAATGCCTTCACAAGTATCATGCGGTCTAATTCCATTTTTCCTCATATCTTTCTACTTTATTAATTAGGTTCTGTTCTTAATTCAGAGACCTTATCTGACTCACTTTTTGCCTCCACAGTGTGCAGAACATAGGCTCTATTAAATATGTGTGTGGATCTGAATATTAACATATTGCCAACACACTTTCTATTTTCTGATATGCAGGTGGTAAGAAAGAGAATAATGAATGCTTTTGCTTACATTTGTTACAGGGACAAAATTATTTGGGAAGATGTGAAAATACTTTATCTCTAAGGCAATAAGTTATTTACTTTTGATGCTTTAAGTCATATAAGTGCTATATGTTCTCTGATTCATCTTATTTTAGGAATGTCCCACATGGTATACTCAAACAAAAAGCACTCTTAGGAAAGAGGGCAAAAACCCCATAAATACCATTTGTGAGTGGATTTCAGAAAACACTAATCTATGTGGTGTCACCTAACAGCTGACTGATTGGACAATTTCAGATGGTATTTCTACCAGTTGTTTTTAATGGGCATTTATATAGAGCTTGGCTCATGATGCTGTTTGAAGCAATCTTCTCTTTACACTACACCGGGTATACGGTTCATAATTTTTTGACCTATGTGATTTATGTGTCTGTTTTCCACAGCTTGTGTTTTGATATCAGAAAACATTAATCCTTCAGAGTCCTGTAGTTGTAATGTTAACTGCCAACAGCATTGATTTGCAATTGGCACGAGAGTATACTTCAACCCTTTTATAATAATTCTATTGGTTTTTTGAATAAAGACTTTTTTACCACTGAAATTATCAAATATAGCATTTTCCCTAATTCTTTAATAAAAATATGCTCACTCTAATCTAATCTAGACCTTTGAGTTTATTGCCTTGGTTTTAAATAACCTTTTAAGTTAAGGATAGAATTTAACAACTTCATTATTCTACTACTGAAGAATAACTAATTAACTATTATTTCTATGGATCATTATTTTATGAATTTGTATATATGTATGTTTATGTATATGTGTGTACATGTAGGTGTATCCATGTATTTTGGGGAAACCAACTATGTCTCTTGTTAGCAATCAGCAATAAATTTTATTTTTAATTTTCTTCTATGGTTTATGAAGATAACATATTAAAGTCTAATTTGTGGGTCATTATAAACTATATAATTTCACTTGTGGGTTCTTACAATGACAACTAATGTCATAGATGCCTTTAAAAAATAATATAGACTTTTAAGACCCCTAGGGTATACTTCGTTCTGTGCATAACTGATAAGAATAATATAATTCTTCAGCTTTGATAGAATCTGTGATGGTAATTTTGGTACCTTGGAAACTCAATATTTAAAAAAGTTTTGGATAAGCATATTCGTTTGGAGTGGGTGTGTAGGGAGGATGACATTAAGCAGAAGAGACAGAAAAGAAAATGATAAGTAATGATGCGTGGTCAGCCTAAGTGTATGTTACCGTACCTAAGATATCTGCACACCTCACTAATGTGTTTGCAGAAGGCTATCACATCCCTGGGACAAAGATCTTAAGTTTAGCTTATGCTCAGGTAATTCATTTTTCTTTAAAGGACTCCAGGAAGGAAAAGGCCAAAAGCTATCCACAACCCCAACAGGTTTTCTCTAATTTTGAAAATATTTCAGGATTCTGGCTTTACATAAAGAAATGAAGTACTTTAAACAGAATGCCAAGATATTTTGTCTTAGAATGTGGGAAAACCTAGGCATTAGGTGACTTTCTCTGTGGAACTTGGTGTTTCTAGGGGATGATGTACCTGGAAGAAAGGCGGCTTGTTCATCGGGATTTGGCAGCCCGCAATGTCTTAGTGAAATCTCCAAACCATGTGAAGATCACAGATTTTGGCTTAGCCCGACTCTTAGAAGGAGATGAAAAAGAGTATAATGCTGATGGAGGAAAGGTAGGTATCTTTTTGAGAGCAATATGGCTCAAAACTGCCATCCAATTATATATTATAAACGTTTTGCAATGAAAGGGTTCCAAATGTTCCACAATGATTTTTTTTACCCTTGAACTCTTACATAACTGTCTATATACAAATCTTATTCCAAGGCAGCACACACAAAAACAACTTTAAAACCTTCAGTTTTGAGGAATTATCTGGTATTTCCTTGATTTTATTAGCCTGCCTGTTTAGTATCAGGTTCCAATAGTTTGAGACCACAGCTTTGAAATTCCCTACAAGATGGCACAGAAGAAGTCTATAAATCACATGATTTCACTTGTCTTTAGAACCTACAGCTGTAAGATTTGTCTAAAACAAGATTCATTATAGCTTTAAATGCCTGGTAACCATTAAGTCTTTATCAAGCCACCTGTGATTTAAGCTTACTTTTTAAACACAATGTCTGTAGTCCAGAAAGTCTGCTAACTCTTTGCCCATTGGGAAATTACTTTCAATGTGTCTTCTGTTCCCTTTCACTGAATACCATGATTCTATCATAGAGTTACCTTGGTGTCACCTTGGTGAGCAGCCAACCTCATGATTTCAAAGACCTATTTAGTTTTAAGCTTTCAACTGCAAAGTAGAAGTGTTTATCTTTATTTCATAGAATCTAATTATATTCCCAACTATATTTTGCTGCCCTTCGATTTTAAATGCATGCTGCTGACCCATCACCAGCATGGTACATGGGTTGAGTTGTTTTTCTTGTAGTGATGATGGATTTGTGCTGATCCTCTCACATTCTTTCATATCCTAGCTCCTATTTTGAAAATGGTACATATTTTCAGTACTGGCTAGCCAAGACAAGGGAGGTCATTTTAGGTTGGGGAACAAAGCAAAGCTAACTTTGGAATTGATGATTTTAGGCAATTTAGTAATCAAATTATATGACAGGAGAGGAGGAGGAGGCAAGTATAGAAAGAATCCATTGTACTTGTGACCCAAAATGTTTCTGAGGATAAAAGGGGATTACTGAGAATGTAAGAATTCTCATTTCTGAGAAAATATATAACATGGACACGTTTTTGAGACACATGTATTCGAAGTTTAGATTTGATATCATGGCTCATAATATTAGCTTAAACACTGGACATACTAAGAAAAACAGAAAAATATTCCATATTATTTTACTGTTTACTATTTATAAAGCTTTTAGAAATGTATCTTTGGGTTTAATTCACTTAATGAATTTTATAAATTTCAATTCATTTGTTTCCTGTCTTGAAAAATAATCTATTTATATAAAAATATTATTGAAGTCGTTCCAGATATTAGCATTTAGGAAATACATAAATGGTTTTTTATTTCTTATTTTTCTATAGATGCCAATTAAATGGATGGCCCTGGAGTGTATACATTACAGGAAATTCACCCATCAGAGTGATGTTTGGAGCTATGGTAAGTAAATCTTCTTAGGGAATTAGGGCTTTGAAGGCAAAAACAAATGTGTTTAGTTCGTGTAAGATAATGAAGGCATATTAATTTTATTGTGTTAGAAATACCTAACTTATTAGCTGAAGGAATTAACATTTTGCTCTCTCTCTCTCTCTCTCTCTCTCTCTCTCACACACACACACACACACACACACACAGACTAAACTAAACTAAACTGAAGAGGATTATTACCTGACTGTTTTGCTATTTCCGCTTCTCTAAAATATAAAATACTAATGTCTCTATGAGTTGTCTAATTGTTCATTTTTTTCATTCATATGTGCATACAATGTTTGGGTCATTTATCCCACTTCCCCCACCCACTCCCTAGCCCCCCCTGCCCCCTCCCTCTCTCCCCCACCCCTCAATACCTGGCAGAAACTATTTTGCCCTTATCTCTAATTTTGTTGAAGAGAGAGTATAAGCAATAATAGGAAGGAGCAAGGGTTTTTGCTGGTTGAGATAAGGGTAGTTATACAGGGTATTGACTTGCACTGATTTCCTGTGCGTGTGTGTTACCTTCTAGGTTAATTCTTCTTGATCTAACCTTTTCTCTACTTCCTAGTCCCCTTGTCCTATTGGCCTCAGTTGCTTTAAAGTATCTGCTTTAGTTTCTCTACGTTGAGGGCAATAAATGCTATCTAGTTTTTTAGGTGTCTTACCTGTCCTCATACCTCCCTTGTGTGCTCTCGCTTTATCATGTGATCAAAGTTCAATCACCTTGTTGTGTTTGCCCTTGATCTAATGTCCACATATCAGGGAGAACATATAATTTTTGGTCTTTGGGACCAGGCTAACCTCACTCAGAATGATGTTCTCTAATTCCATCCATTGACCAGTGAATGATAACATTTCGTTCTTCTTCATGGCTGCATAAAATTCCATTGTATATAAATGCCACATTTTCTTAATTCATTTGTCAGTAGTGGGGCATCTTGGCTGTTTCCATAACTTGGCTATTGTGAATAGTGACACAATAAACATGGATGTGCAGGTGCCTCTGGAGTAACCTGTGTCACAGTCTTTTGGGTATATCCCCAAGAGTGATATTGCTGGATCATATGGTAGATCAGTGTTTAGCTTTTTAAGTAGCCTCCAAATTTTTTTTCCAGAGTGGTTGTACTAGTTTACATTCCCACCACAGTGTAAGAGGGTTCCTTTTTTCCCGCATCCTCGCCAACACCTGTTGTTAGTGGTGTTGCTAATGATGGCTATTCTAACAGGGGTGAAGTGGAATCTTAGTGTGGTTTTAATTTGCATTTCCTTTATGCTAGAGATTGAGCATTTTTTTCATGTGTTTTTGGCCATTTGAATTTCTTCTTTTGAGAAAGTTCTGTTTAGTTCCTTGCCCATTTCTTTATTGGTTCATTATTTTGGGAGAATTTAGTTTTTGAGTTCCCTATATATTCTGGTTATCAGTCCTTTGTCTGATGTGTAGCTGGCAAATATTTTCTCCTACTCTGTGGGTGTTCTCTTCAGTTAGAGACCATTTCTTTTGATGAGCAGAAGCTTTTTTAGTTTTATGAAGTCCCATTTATCTATGCTATCTATTAGTTGCTGTGCTGCTGGGGTTCCATTGAGAAAGTTCTTTTTTTGTTTTGTTTTGTTTTGTTTTCTTTTTTTTTTCTTTTATTATTCATATGTGCATACAAGGCTTGGGTCATTTCACCCCCCTGCCCCAACCCCTCCCTTACCACCCACTCTGCCCCCTCCCTCTCCTCCCCACCCCTCAATACCCAGCAGAAAAACTTTTTGCTGGGTTGAGATAAGGATAGCTATACAGGGCCAATTGATCTCACATTGATTTCCTGTGCATGGGTATTACCTTCTAGGTTAATTCTTTTTGATCTAACCTTTTCTCTAGTTCCTGTGTAGCTGGCAAATATTTTCTCCCACTCTGTGGGTGTTCTCTTCAGGTTAGAGAACATTTCTTTTGTTGAGCGGAAGCTTTTTTAGTTTTATGAAGTCCCATTTATCTATGTTATCTCTTAGTTGCTGTACTGCTGGGTTCATTGAGAAATTCTTACCTATACCTACAATCCAGAGTATTTCCTACTCTTTCTGTACAACTTTGAGTTTGGTCTGATATAAGATCCTTGATCCATTTTGAGTTAATATTGGCATAGGGTGATATACATGGATCTAGTTTCAGTTTTTTGCAGACTGCTAACCAGTTTTCCCAGCAGTTTTTGTTGAAGACGCTGTCTTTTCTCCATCATATAGTTTTAGCTCCTTTGTCAAAGACAAGTTGGTTATAGTTGTGTGGCTTCATATCTGGGTCCTCTATTCTGTTCCACTGGTCTTCATGTCTGTTTTTGTGCCAGTACCATGCTATTTTTATCGTTATTGCTTTGTAATATAGTTTGAAGTCAGGTATCATGATACCTTCAGCATTGTTGTTTTGACTGAGTATTGCCTTGGCTATTCGTGGCCTCTTGTGTTTTCATATAAATTTAACAGTAGATTTTTCAATCTCTTTAATGAATTTCATTGGAATTTTGATGGGAATTGCATTAAACATGTAGATTACCTTTGAGAGTATCAACATTTTTACTATGTTGATTCTACCAATCCATGAGCATGGGAGATCTCTCCACTTTCTATAGTCTTCCTCAATGTCTTTCTTCAGAAGTTTATAGTTTTCCTTGTAGAGGTCATTCACATCTTTTGTTAGGTTTACAACTAGGTATTGATTTTTTTTGAGGCTATTGTAAATGGAATTGTTTTCATATATTCTTTTCAGTTTTTCATTATTAGTGTATAGAAATGCTAATGATTTTTCTATGTTGATTTTATATCTGCTACCTTGCTATAGCTATTGATGGTGTCTAGGAGCTTTGAGTAGAGTTTTTTGGGTCTTTAAGGTATAGGATCATGTCATCTGCAAATAGGATATTTTGACAGTTTCTTTACCTATTTGTATTCCTTTTATTCCTTCTTCTTGCCTAATTGCTCTGGCTAGGAATTCCAGTACTATTTGAATAGATAGATAGTGGCATCCTTGTCTAGTTCCTGATTTTAGAGGAATGGTTTCAGTTTTTCTCCTTAAGTATAATGCTGGCTGTAGGTTTGTCATATATAGCTTTTAAAAAGTTGAGGTACTTTCCTTCTATTCCTAGTTTTCTTAGAGCTTTTATCATGAAATGGTGTTGGATCTTATCAAAGGCTTTTTCTGCATCTATTGAGATGATCAAGTGGTTTTTGTCTTTGCTTCTGTTAATGTGGTTTATTACATTTGTTGATTTTCATATGTTGAACCACCCCTGCATTCCTGGGATGAAGCCTACTTGGTTGTGGTGAATGATCTTTTTGATGTGTTGTTGAATTTGGTTTGCCATTATTTTATTGAGGATTTTTGCATAAATGTTCATTAAGGAGATTGGCCTATAGTTCTCCTTTTTGGAGGGGTCTTTGCATGGTTTTGGGATAAGTGTAATACTGGCTTCATAAAATGTGTTTGGCAGTTTTCCTTCCCTTTCTATTTCTTAGAACAGTTTGAGGAGGGTTGGTGTCAGTTCTTCTTTAAAGGTCTGATAGAATTCAGCAGAGAATCCATCAGGTCCTGGACTTTTCTTTTTGGGGAGACTCTTGATTGCTGCTTCAATTTCATTTTGTGTTATAGATCTATTCAGTTTATTAATATCCTCTTGGTTCAGTTTTGGATGATCATATGTATCTAGAAATCTGTCCATTTTATTTGAGTATAGGTTCTCAAAGTAGTCTCTGATGATTTCCTGGACTTCCATGGTGTTTGTTGTTACCTCCCCTTTTGCATTCCTGATTCTACTAATGTGGGTTTTTTCTCTCCTCATTTTAGTCAGATTTGCCAGGGGTCTGTTGATCTTGTTTATTTTTTCAAAGAACCAACTTTTTGTTTCATTAATTGTTTGTGTGGTTTTTTTTGGTTTCTATTTCATTGATTTCAGCTCTTATTTTTATTATTTCTCTCCTTCTATTTGTTTTGGGATTTGCTTGTTGTTTTTCTAGGAGTTTGAGATGTATCATTAGGTCATTGATTTGGGATCTTTCAGTCTTTTTAATATATGCACTCAAGGCTATAAACTTTTCCCTCAGGACTGCCTTTGCTGTGTCCCATAGGTTCTGGTAGTTGTGTTTTCATTTCATTGACTTCCAGGAACTTTTAATTTCCTCTTTTATTTCATCAATGACACATTGTTCATTAAGCAGTGAGTTATTCAGTTTTCAGCTGTTTGCATGTTTTTTGTCTTTACTTTTGTTGTTGAGTTCTAGTTTTAATGCATTGTGATCAGATAGAATGCATGGTATAATTTCTATATTTTTTTATATTTGCTGAGGCTTGCTTTGTGCCCTAGGATATGATCTATTTTGGAGAAGGTTCCATGGGCTGCTGAGAAGAATGTATATTGTGTAGAAGTTGGATGAAATGCTCTGTAGACATCAAGTAGGTCCATTTGATCTATTGTATATTTTAGATCTAAGATTTCTTTATTGATTTTTTGTTTGGATGACCTATCTATTGATGATAATGGGGTGTTAAAGTCTCCCACAACCACTGTGTTGGAGTTAATATATGCTTTTAGGTCCTTCAGTGTATATTTGATGAAATTGGGTGCATTGACATTGGGTGCATATAGGTTGATAATTGTTATTTCCTTTTTGTTTATTTCCCCTTTTATTAGTATGGAATGTCCTTCTTTATCTCATTTGATCATTGTAGGTTTGACGTCTCCTTTATCAGAGATAAGTATTGCTACTCCTGCCTGTTTTCAGGGGCCATTGGCTTGGTAGATCTTCTTCCAGCCTTTCATCCTAAGCCTATGCTTATTTCTGTTGGTGAGATGGGTCTCCTGTAAGCAACAAATTGTTGGGTCTTCCTTTTTAATCCGTTTCATCAAATGGTACCTTTTGATGGGTGAATTAAGTCCTTTAACATTAAGTGTTAGCACTGATAAGGTATGTGGTGATTCCTGTCATTTAGCTGT